CAACTATTACAGCCCTATCTATTACAGCCCTATAACAACTATTACAGCTCCCTCTAGCTCCTATACAAATTCATCCTATAACCTTTACAGCTCCTATAACAACTATTACAGCCCCCTATAACAACTATTACAGCTCCCTATCTAATATACTATAGGAATAGCCGTGTGTGTGTGTGTCTGTCTGTCTGTTCTGGGCAATCGAAACGGCACAATCGTTTTTCATCAGACTTGGTGGAAAAATCGCAACAAAATTGGTAGAGTGGAACAAACCTGGTCCCAGGTCGATGGTTTCTTTAGGAAGGCATTAATTAACCATTTTGTCGCTGTACGCTCTCAGCCAGACGGCGGTTGTGTGCTAGCCAAGCGCGAGCGTTCAAACTTTGGGGCACAGAAGGGCCCACGTTCACTTGTAACAACTATGCTATATAACTTAGCCCAAGTTTCTATACTCTAACCTAACCTAACTTCTTATACTATATAACTTAGCCCAAGTTTCTATACTCTAACATAAGCTAACTTAATACTATATAACTTAACCCAATTTTTTTGTAGTCTAATCTGACTTAACTTTATGTAATGTACTTAGCTTTCTATAACTTAATCTAACTTAACGCCACAGTCTACCTAAGTTACCCTTAATTCTGCGTAACTTGACATAACTTAAAGAACATTATTACCTGAAGTTTCTTTTTGGTGGAAGTTGATGACTCAGATGTGACTACTACAGGTGAGAGAGAGAAAGGGCAGACAAATTGACAGAGAACCAAACAAAGAGCTAGATAGACAGGCAAACAGAGATAGAGAGAGACAAATAGACAGAGATAGACAGACAGGCAGATTTATCAGATTCGCGCCTCACCCACATACAGACAAAGCAATACATATGACCTCTCGACCTCTGCGTGATTCAGTGGCATCCCCCCTTCGCCCCCCATTAACGGCGTCGTGTCGGAGAAATAGGAAATTTTTGACAGGAGGAAGTGGTCGTTAGGGGGTGAAGGGAGAGAGGCGGCGGTGGTTTATAGCGGTTGGTGGGTGGGAGAGAGAGTTGGTGGGGGGAGGTAGGAGGGGCGAGTGTACAAGCCTCGTCCCTCTGTTTGGTTCAGTCAGGTGAGAAATTTAACACGCTAAAAATGTTAAAACTCGTTCATATTATTGGTATATTTCTCACATCGGGATTAACTATATAATCTTCACGTTTATACACAGGTTGTTATGACTCACGGGGGGTTATAGCGAGGTTCAGGGATACCTCACAAAAACTATAATGCTGTGCTCACTCTGGTATTTATATTCGTTATCAAAAGCTTCTATCAGAATCGAACACTTGTCAAGGGTTGTTGCCTACACATGTATATTTATATAATATATCAAATATCGGTATAATAATTCACATGTGTTACGAAGTATAAAGTTTGTGTCTGTCTGTCTGTCTGTCTGTCACTCACTTGATGTACTATATACTGTTTACGTTATTTATCAGGTTAAAATTCTCTCTCTCTCTCTCTCTCTCTCTCTCTCTCTCTCTCTCTCTCTCCACAAGTGACTCATGCAGGCCCGCCCACAAGGACTGCCTTTCCACAAAAAAATACTCACCCTTTTGTCAGGCAAACACAAAGGAAAGAGCTTGACGTGTGTGTAAACAGAGAGACACACACTGTACATGGCGTCAAGGTGAGAATGTCAACGGGCTACTGTATTGTCTTCATTAAAATATACTGAACAATTACAGTCCATTACTAGAGTACACAACATTACAGGAAATAGTCATTAAATATTTTTCTCCAACTAAATCTAAGTATAAAATGTGTGTTCTGACCTTGAGATGAACTGTTGTGTAGCTTTTTTTCTTCTTAACTGGGTGTGAGTGTGAGACGCCCTGTAGTGGTCGCGGTATTGTGTATAATTTCCCTCACTGTTGTTATCCAGTGTGAGGAGGGAATCAAGTCATGAGCCTTTGAGAACCTGAGTCTGTGTCTTGTATCCTTATGGTAAGTATACATCCGTTCCCTCCCTCCTTCACCCTCCCCCTTTCTTCTCTCACTCTCTCCCTGCTTTCACCCCTTCACTCCCTCCTGTTCACTCACTTTCTCTCCCTCTTTTCATTCCATCCTTCCTTTCCTCCCTTCCTCTCCTTTCACTGCTCTCTCCCTCCTTCACTCCCTCCGTTCCTTCCTCCCAGAAGAGATTAGATAACGTATATCTACTTGTGATAAAAACCTCTATAATTTCGATGTCATTTTCTCAACCAATCATGTACTCTAATTTAATTGAGTTAAAAAAAGTTTCCCCCATATTTCCAGTTGAGAAAACCCCCAGCAGTATGAGCCTGTGAGTGTGATGAGTGATGGTCTATAAACATCATCACTCTCCCACACATCACCCATAGTATCACACTTGTTAGAGCCGGTTTATGACCACCCACCCACGACCTGTACGTTACATTTTCCTCCTAATTTGAGATGTGAGGATGACTGCACCTCAGTTAACAGGCCAGAACAGTGGCGGCTATATGCTGCCCTGAGTCCCTGGACGTCACCATGCTGCAGAAATAGACTTGTTTGAACTGTCATTGCTAAAAGACCGGACCGTTCTTGGTGTCAGTCATCATTATGGGGTCGCAGTGTATACAGGGAAGGTTTGTATGTTTGGTTACGACCACGAGAAACATCAGCTACATATCACCAACTTTGGGAGGTGGTATTTAAGATAGGATAGAGAGTTTGGTGGGTTATGGATGAACTTAATGCTAACTACATATTTGATACGTGACCCGTACTTGACCTCCTGTGAGGTCGGATAGACGTTTGATATGAGGCTGAAGTTCACACAACACAACATTTCGGGTGTTTTAATGGTGTTGACTTCAGTGATGTCACAGTCACATATGACTTACACTTGATTCTACCAGTGCCTTATAAGGTCCCAGTTTTGTATTGAAGATGTCCAGGTTTTGAAGAATAATTTGGCCGGTGAAATAGGTTCACTTTTCTTATATAATGAACCCGAAAGTAAAATGAGAATTTATTCGTAGACAGTTCACTTTTTCCCTTGGGCTCTGGCATTATCATACAGCAGCCAAAAGCGTTTGTGTAACATCTGTTTGTCCTGTTGAGTGAAGAGGGTTGGTGTGCACTACAGAGTACACCTGTGGTCCACACACACAGATATGGTACTGCTGGTGTGTGGAGCTTGAGGGAACTCTTAGGGTATGAACTCCAATGAAAATTTCAGCCATAACTTCATCTAATATTGTGTCGTTTAGGACTTGCAAAATATCCATAAACTCCACACTGAAGACGTGCACCGTCGCCAAGGTCACCTTTGTCGGTGTTGGCCGCCCCAGTATTGGACCTCCTACGTGTCTGCCTCAGACCGCCAAGTCTAGATGCATATCTTATCTCCAGTACCAGGAAAACTAACACACAGAAGATTGAAGATTATTTTTCTGTTTCAAAAGACGCTATCATCTGTGTCAGTCGTGTTCACATTCTTGAGCGTGGCCTGATGAACACTGTTATGATCCGTCACTTTTTATGGAGGAACTATCTCTTCGCCTCTGATCGGTGATGCTCAAACATCCGTGCGACAACTGCTTCCTCTGACGGTGAGGGGAAAAACGTGTCGTTACCATGATCTCATTTCATTTTCGACACTTATTTTAGCTGCCGTTATCGTGTTGTAATTCAGGTTATGTAGCTACTTGTGCTCTTGTCACCAGTGAGGGGAGTGATACTGTTCTCATAAATAATTGGGCTTGTTACTCGTGACTCATTAAGGTGCGTGATAACTGTCACACCTGTGATATACCCCCCCCCACACACACACTTGTCTGTACAGTACTCTCAAAAGGTAAACGTCTAGCTGAATCTGCAGGCAGTTGATGTATAAAGCATTAACTTGAATTATGTAAACAAACGTAATTCAGTTAGGTGTAATGATTAGTTAGTGACCGTAGAGTGACAGCGACCCTGATATAACCCGACAGGTAAACTAATTGGATATTGGGTGCGGTAATTGGTGTGTGAATATAATTAAGTTGTTTGGTGTTGTTGGTGTGTTTGTTGTTATAATGCTGTATAAACTCTGGATATTTCGGTATGTATCTGTTTATAAGAGACTGTTTCTGTTGAGTCATCCCGGTAAATGAATATTATACTGTATTCGTTAAAAGTGGGGCACCAATTTAAGTAGAGCTAATTCTTCTCATCCGAACTACTGTATAGCAAATAAAGAAATTAGAGCTGTACCGTATTTAGAAGTTTATCGAAAATTACAGAAAATGTGAAGAAGCGGCGTTACTGAACATCACAGGTGTGAATTATTGACTGGCATGAAGAATGAGTGCAGGTGGTACTGTGAGGCTAGAGGGAGAGGTAGTGCTTCACCTCACTCCTCTAGTAAATCAGGGAACCGTGGGGAAGGGTGCAATGGGGGTGAGTTAATTTTCAACTGTACATTTTTTATGAGAAGTTATGATAACCAGGTGACGCTACGTGACCTCTCCCACTTGATGTTGTAATAGTATTAGTAAAGCATCAGTGGTTATTAATTTAGTGTACTGTACAATATTAAACATACGGCAGTGTGTCAACATGGTATGTATGCTGTACTGTACTCAATTGAATATTTACTGTATTGTAAATTTATATTTGTTTTATATTTTTTAAGTGTTACATTTTCCATTACTCTGTTTCAGGATATGTGGGGCCCTTGTAAGAAAAGAAAAACAGAACCCAACAAAAGAGAAACTCCTAAAACTTCATCAGATACAGAAGAGTTTGTGGTGCCCACCAGTGGGGAAAGTTCATCTGACTCTACCGCTATCACCGATGAAAAGATAAATAAAGGTTAATACTATTTATAAACCATACATGATATGGCTATGATATGAGTTGTAATATTTTCCCACTTCTGTATAAACTTTCATATTCATGTCTGATGATACTCTGCTTTTTGATACATTACCAATACTGTATATGAAATTACTTTGCAGCCAATGATGATGATGAGGATGGTAAATTACCCATACCCATGTTTGAAGATTCTCATGACGACAGCGTTAAATTCTCTCCTCTCCAGAAGACATTCAGCAAACATTGAACAGAAGTTTCTTGTGGAAATGCCAGATGATTTCTTTGATTTCTGGGATTGTTGTGTGCGGCTGAACAAGGAAAAACCAGAAGGTAATTCATTACGGTATAGGTTTTATGTTCAAATGCTTATATTTTGGACTAGTTTTGAAAAACATATTCTGTGAACCTGTAAGCTGTTGAGCCATCATTTAAAAGGACAAACTATTTTTTAAATATCCTTTAGTTACCATTAAAAGAAAATCTTGATTGACAAAATAATTGCTGTATAGTAATGAAAATGTTTCCTACTCAAAGCATGCCTCAAATTTTAGACATAGCATCAGAAAGTCTCATATTTTACTTGTTTATCAAACTTTTTGACATCGGAGTTTGAGAATTCACTGGATCTCATATTGTTTACCAACACTTGCTGCAGCTAACTTAAACTATTGTAGTTGTTCATTCAGTGTGTTGGTGCTAAATCTTCACTTGTCATCATTTCCTTCACCAGCAGGTTTAAACTTATTGTGTGCACCATCCAGTGAACAGTGAGATAAACTCCTTGTAATATCTTCACTCTTTCCAAGCAATAAACTGTGACTTCACAACTCAGGCCCTCTCTGTATTAGTGTAGATCCAAGGCTTGTGATTGTTCATCACTTTTAGTAACCTATCCTTTACTGTATAGTGTTACATTTTCAGACCTGAAGTCCATATACTGTGTAGCCTTTTGGTGCTTTCATTCATTCCTCTATACTGTACTATAATTACAGCCATATCACCACTAATACATTGAATTTAGAATTCAGAGTAGGATATATACTGCACTGGCAGGTAATGAGAACAGTAAAAAATATTGTTTGTTTTCAGAGGCACTGAGCAAAGCTGGTCTAACACTTGTGGGTCCATATGATGTCCTCACCAGGAAGTTGGATGGTTTAAAGACTCGGTGTAGATCCAGTTATGCCTGTCATTGGCGCTACTACTACGATCCACCAGAATTTATGGTACAGTATATATATATACATATACCCAATATACATTTAAATGTTTACAGGTATATGACTTTTTAATAGTTTTGCAAGATGTGTAAAGATGCATTTACAAACATAAGCAAAGGATTGAGAGCAGCGGTGGACACACGGCTGGTTTAAAAGCTCTGTGTAGATCTGTTACTGGTATGCCTGTCATTGGTCATGCATGAGTGAGACGAATCTCTCTATCATACTCATCCACTCTTCTGACATATAATCAGGGGCCAAGTATAGAATAAGTAGACTACCACTGAGCTCAGGCAAGGCATCCATGCTACCCAGGCAGTTTTCTTGCCATAACTTACAAAGGTCACACAGTATCACAACCAGTCATTGGGAGGGCAAGGGACTTGTCTTGTCTGAAAGCAGTAACTAATGCATTTTATATGCTGCCAGAAAGCAGATCCCCTTTGCCGTTTGAAAGGGTATCCAGAACTCAAATTGGAGAGGCAATGCCTGTGGGAAGTATTCTCTGGTGGTTTTGTGATGCATGCATAGCTTGGGGCAGTCAGGGGTGTCTGCCTTTTCATAATTACATAGATGAGGAAAGATCCTCTTGAGTAGGAACACAGGATTTGCTGACTATCAGCAGCTAAGATTCCCTTTTCCTGTTTATTGCATGAACTCGTGATATTCCTTGAAAAAATTCTGCATTTCCAAGTATGTACTGTATAGTGGTGCAGAACCAATGATATGTCAGCACACCCTTTTCACATTTTGCTTAAGTAGCAAATTTTAAGCTGTCCGGGACATAGCTATCCCACACCAGGTTAAGGCATTTCACTCATTAAAGTTGTGTTTTGACACAGAATGAACACATTAAATGGCTTTGCTGTTACTGGCTTCAACAGTTCTGTCAACAAATGTAAAAAAAAATGTATATCGTCTGTAATGATACAATCCATACAAGTAATATCTACAAGAAAATAAATAAATATTAATGCATATTTACAGAATGATATACTGGGTATGTCAATATAATGCATAATACTGTACTTGTACCTGTGAATAAATTAAACTCGGGATTAAAAAAAATCAGTATTGGGTTTACTATTCTGTACTACTCTCCAAATTACCCACCTGAGTTGCTGAAAAAAACATTACTGTATTGTATTTTGACAAAAGTATGAGTTCATCGATCAAATTCGGACACTTTGGATAATTTGGAGCCTTTGGGTAATTTGACAAACGTTTTGGGGCTGATCCAGGAATATCATGGGGTGCAGAAGTTGTGGGTGGGGAAGTATGGCAAGCACAGTGAGCCCGGGGCATTTTGAGGCCATGTGTATTAGGAGATATTCTGAGGTTAATAGTATGGGTAATTACTTTTTACTATACAAAAACGTCTGAGTTCAATACTGGATCCGCCCTTGAACAAAGAACTCAAGTTGTTGAATTAGAAGGGTTCTAGTTTATTTCACTTCAGTCATTCTTTCAGCCACATTCTTCATATTAAACTGTCACATCCTAGGATATATAATTTACTTTGTCCTTATCTAACACAATATGATACACTACACTAATGTCTCCATATTTCCATTGCTTCTAAAATTTATATAAGAAATTACAACCAACTTTTAAAAACCAAATATTTAACACTTACAGACTGTGATAGCCGGTGATGAAAAAGAATACCACATTGGCTATTATCGCGACGACCCCTTCGAATTGCCAGGTTTTGTAGGTTCAATGTCGTCCAAAAACCAAGGAGTTATCAAAGCCCTCGGTGGAAATATCTTTGGTGCAGTTTGGTAAGTTTATTATTTCAAGTACTACTGTATATAAAAATTTCAAGGCAAAAATAAATAAGTATTTGTTGATCATTTAGTCTTACTGTAGTAATACTTGTGAGGGAAAACCTGGCAATTGTTATATACTAATTACTGTACAGGTATATACCACTGACATACATTATACTGTAATGCTTGTTGCTGTATTGATTTCCCTTGTATATGACCTTACCCATTCCATCAAAGTAAAAAATTATAAAAACTCGTGTATGGATTAATGTGAAAATGTACTGCAGTACCATATATCCAAACAGATTTTATTAAATTTTGTTATTTTACACTTTTATATCCTAATCTCACTATCAATCCATTCAGCTTCATTATCTTAGAGACAGAATGAGAGAACACTCAAAGAAAGCTCCACTTCAGAGATTATACAACGAAATTGAACTGTATGCTATGAAGAAACTCCATTCATTGGAGGTCGAGACAAAGAGCATGAAGGAACGAAAAATCGTAGTTTCCCCGACCTTCCATGGGGGCGTGTTGTTATTGTGACAAGGATAATTTTGGATACAGAGCACTTCCTACGACAAATGGTAAAGTTAATTATTCAAAGTTTGTACAATTTGTTTGTGTCAGTTATGATGTCCTTTACCCAGCCTGAGTATAGTGACTCATGCAATCTTTGCTAAATTCTTTTCCATCTCTTTATGTCAATATATTCCCTGATGCTGTATGATGCACTTACCTATAAACTTGATTTGTTGTTCATGTACAAAAGCATTAATTTGAATTTTAGTCGGTGTAAAATAACGATATTATTTGATAGAAATTGAATTATGTTTCCACTGGTTGACTTGTTAGACCCTTTCTGTAAAGGGTAATGCAGACTGTAACTGACGGTGTATATTTGTTACCAATGCTCTGCTAATCATCCATTCCTTTTACAGCCAAATTGTGGAGAATGATGAACAGGGTTGTTGGATCCAAAACTGACTGGGAGAGAAGGAAACATTTTGAAGTTATTCAAGACTTAATAAAAAATGTACAGTTTGCTTATGATGCTGATGACATTGGTGAGTAGTATACTGTATGGAGTTTGTTGCTGTCCTGGATTCAATTCCTGGCCCAGGACAGATGTGAGAAAGATGTTACCCAGTGTGACTCTATCAACACCAGACATCACAGGTCTACTCTTGGTACTCTTATTTCTTCCTGTACTAATTCTGGACAATAAAATTAACGAAAAAGAACAACTACTTTACACCAAATAAACTGCTGAATTATATGAAAAATATGGTATTGTACATAGATTTCTACTACATAAAACAATAGTCTGTTCATTATGGAAATGTCTACTTCAACTCACCCAGCAATACTGTCTGATGTACTGTATAGTTTTGTGATTGGATAATGTGGCAGTATCCTCTGTGGAAGTAAATTTTAGTCAATTTAAAGTGTTAGTACAGGTGGAAACTGGAGTCCGTGAAAACTGTGATGTTTGGTAGTGAGGGTCACACTGTATAACACCCTTCTCATGTGTGTCTGGGCCAAGTTGGACTAGAGCCATCGGCATATTAGTTGAAACATATGCTCATTACTGCTGTACTAATAGTTATTTTCTTCTTCAGGTATTTTGCATTATGGTCATCACAAAAGGGCAGGAGATATGGACTTGAGATTCATTTTGTATCATCTTCTTTTGCAGCCCTATAGAATATGCTAATCACCATTTATGTAGACACTGTTAATATCTTTTCCACTCTCACTTTCTCACTCTATCTTCTATGCCTTGTTTTTACATTGAGTAAATTTTATATCCACAGGTATGGGACTAGAGCTTGGACTTGACATGTTTACGTTCGGCCATGAGTTGTTTCACAAGCCTGTTTACCATGTCCTTGGTTTAGCATATGACATGTTAGGGAGAGAACCTTATATTGATATATTACAAGTAAGTGTCAAAATATAGAATCCTTATTACATGTACTGTATATATTACAACCATCCATTAGTACTGACTTACCAATACCTATAAAATGAAGAGATTTGTATTACTACAGTACAGATACATTCTGGAGCCAGTACTTGCCAATAGTGTATAACAGATATACGACCGATCGCACAAGCGGCTAACAGACCGATCACTGGCAAAGAGGATAACGTAAAGTAATCAAATGTAACTGGAATAACTGTGGGATAAAAGATTCTTCATCTTTTTTAAATAAGCTCTTTTATTACAGGCTCATCTGAAGAACAGACGACAGGGCAGCAATTTGAGCATCATGGAAGTTGTTGAATAGATGACAAGATGGATCACCTTTGATGTAGCTGTCTTAAGTTCCTCATGCTTTGCCCTTAAGTTGTACACACTTCAGTACAATGCCAACTCTCTTACTTATTGGCATTGAAATCACTTAAGTACAGGTACATGTAAAATTGGCTTCACTATCTGTTTAGCTAATAGTGTCATGTTCTTAGTTGAAATTTTGTTGATTTAAATGTCAAGTTAGTGTCTTTGTACTGTATTCCTTCCTTAAATTATACTGTAGTTTAGTATCTTAGGTTTAGATAACAACAATTTTGTAAAATATACATGTAAGTGCCATGCATTATAAAATGTAAGTGCCATGCAACATTGTGTTTATTTATCTATTAATTTTTTGGGTAGTATAAGAGACCAGTAGTTTTGTTTCTTATTTGCTCAGTTGGTCATTCGTATACCTTTGTATTTATGGATTAGATGAAAAGTTTCTATGGTGGGGTGAAAACACATTATAGTAGCCTTGTGCTTAGAAAAGGTAGAGGTTCAAGTGCCCAAAGTTTCTCAGTCAATTTTAAAATGAGTAGAATTTGAAATACAAATGGATGCTGATGAAATATGAATTTTTAGCAGTAGAAAACTGTTTAGATTAAGACTAATTTATGGTAGAATGTGTGTAGCTAGAAGAGTATTCTTTCTATTATACTAACAAACCGATGTTAAAGACAGACATTTATGATTTTGTAGTGAAAGCTCTTGTAGATAGAAAAGTACAATATACTATGTAGTAAAAGGAGGATATTATGTTGAAATGTAGGCAGCTTATATTTATTTAGTACAGGGTACAGTATTGTATTGTCTCAGACAGGACTGTGTTAGAAGTTTAGAAAGTGATTCATAATTCTTAACATTGCAGTCGTTTTGCTAATAATGTATGAAACAAATCATCTTTTGGTAATCATTATTATTTATGAATACTGTACCTAGTAACAATATTGGCAGGTAAACTTTGATTGCCTCGGGGAGTAACACACTGCCTTGCCAGCTAAGAGAGTGTTTGGAAGTCCTACATTTATTGTACAGTAGTCCTCAGTCTCCAGTGGGTTGATGATAGGCAGGGAATCTTGCTGTAAAACTTGCTTCATATTTGCCTGATAGGAACCAGGATGCAGAAGAAAAGTAACAATGACAAAATTGGAAAAGGTTAACAGAATTGGAAAAGGTTAGCTGTGGTACCTGTGTATACTTCGTGAATGTACTGTATATGTTCATAGTGGAATAATCTACCTGATACAAGGAAATAGCTCAGTGACCAAGTATACTGTACAGTTGAAGGTCCAAAAGCAGTGGTTATATTTTTGCAGGAGAATTCTACCACATGAGTGAGGGATTCACCTGCTGTTTGCACTAATAAAGAAACAACTAAATTATCAAACCTCACCATGGTCAATTTAGGCCTTATTAACACTAGCCATCATGTAATATTATCCTTCACATTTAATTCTTACAAGTTTTGGAGGAAATGGGGAGCATTGATTGACTCAGTTTAATGAACATTAAGAATGTAGGCTCCTCCTGGGAGATAAATGTGAATTAAGTGAAAAATCTGATTGAAAACTATACAGTATTGTGCATCTAAAAGCAAACAAGTGAGTTTAGGAGTAACCTGGGAAACCTTTAGACATGAGTTATTAGCCTGACTAGAGTTAAGAATACCGTATTGTAGTCTTAATTTCAAGAGATACATTGAAAACAGATGCACAAGATTACTTCCTTTCTTCTGTGTTTACACAAGAGGATGCATCGGACTTAGACAGTTTAAGGGTAGACAGTCAGCACTATGTTACAGTACTTGGCATTCTCATAATAGTGTATCAAAGCCAAGTTGAATAAAAGCACAAAGGTAGGAAAATGGTCCTTCAACTGTACAGATCCCAAGTAGCCTACATCCCAGTCTGGATTCCTGTAAACAGACAAGGAAACCCTTTGAAAGGTCTAATATACCTAGAATAGGTGGAACACAGAGCGACAAAGATGATTCTGGAACTATGTCATCTCTTATTATCCAAGTAGACTGATGGCCTTAGGACTAACTACCCTTCAGACAAGGCACAATAAGACAGATCTCATTAAAACATGCAAAATCCTGAAAAGACTGGAAAACATGAACCCGGACATTTCTTTGTGATGTTACGCACCACCAACATGAGAGGACATAACTACGAGCCTGCCAAGTTATGAACAACGGATACTGTATAAGGAAATACTTTTTAACACAAGAGGCTAGTAGACCTTCTGGAATGGTCTACCAGCCCAAGTTAATGAATCAACAGTAGTACTGGGCTTCAAAATAGCTCTAGACAAAATTGCCAAGAATAATGGAGGGGGATCATACACAGGCCACTGGCCTCCTTTCCTCGACATGGCCACCTCTAGTGGATGGCCATTAGGTAAATAAGGTAAGAGAAAACCTGTGATGCTTGGTAAGGTAAGGTCACACTGGATAAAACCCATCTCACAACCAACCCATGATACAGTGGTGAGAGGCAAGTCTACTACTGCCCAAAATCCAAATACTGTATGGTACAGTACTTTTTCTTTGCCCTTTCTCATCTCACTTTTGATGCGTGTTGGACATTTTGGAGTCATAGTTTTATATAAATAAAAAAATTGTCCACTTAGAATTTGATTAAAATATCAAGAATGCAGCGATATGCACTGATTGAAAAACTGTTCACCAAGTGTATTATACTCACACAATATTTCATAACAGATAGACAATATCCTACTTTATACCACGCTCACACACATGGACGTTACCCCCAGACTGCGACACACAAAACACAGGGACAGACCTTCAAAATACACACAGTACAGTACAGTACTTAGTCACATTAAAATAACCAGAACAATAAAACACAAAATATCAACAAACAGTTATATATATTTAATTCAATAGGGCAGGTACTGTTGCCAACATCAACAGGCTGCAGGATTTGTTACAGTTACCAAAAACACAACAACAGATAGCTATATACTGTTTAAATTTACCCTAAGATGATAATGATATACTGTACATGTAGTTTATGAACAATTGTCACAAACAAAATAAACTGTGTATAGTACATGAATACAAAATACAGTACCTGTATACTGTACGTTTCATCAGACACCGACTCGTGCAATATTTCTCAAGTAAGGATTTTCTACCATAATCATTACTCCGCGTTATATGAATTTCAATATGAAGTTATGAACCATTAACTCCATAGGTGGCGCCCATTTCGCTCATTTCCCAAGTTAATGACCCAGATTAAGCTTCAGGTGGTGTAGGTCATAATACCTTGACCTCTTTTAACCTCCCTTGGAACAGTTCAGGTTTTCAATAGTAAGTGTCGAAGTAAAAATATCATTAGGTGCCTCTTCTGTCGCTACTGTTTTATGTAATTATCATTCCATATTGATCAAGAAAAACCTTTTGCACTGGTTCATTATAAACCTAACCTAAATTAGGCTTCATCACCTCCAAATAAAGATAAGATTATCTAAATTTAATAAATGTAACATGGTGGTCAATAGACCGCTGATGAATTGCCCGCCCACCATAAAAGGTAACAGTGATAAAATGCTATAAAATGAACGAAGATCTTACTGTGCACGTGCCTGGCTAGTCTGTCTCATATCAGACTAAGATTATTCCAATGGCTGTCAAAGGTGGGCAACACTGAATCCTATCAGAGACCTGCATTAACAGTTGTTCGGTTTTTACAACAGAAGAGCAAGGGATAACTTAGAAGAACTGTGCAAGGAGAAACGAGGATGTTAAATATACAATCTTAAGTTAACTGATTAGATGTCCGTTCACTGTTAGAGGTCATAGCCTCTAGTTAAGGAGGCTATTAGTGGAGAAAAGGTCGCCAGACATGTTTTAGAACCCAGTTAGATTTTCTATATGTGTCAATACCCAGTTAAAGGGTAAGACCAGACTTGACCAACACTGGAGCAGGTTCAGGTACATTCAGGAGCCGGTGCATGCCAATGCCAACAGTGGGTAACAGACGTGACCGATCTCCCAAGGGCTAACGAGCCGATCAGTGGTGAAGAGGATAAAAGAATATACAGTATGTCACTGTGTCAGGGTCTGGTTCAGAACCCAGTTAGAGAAATATGTATGTGTCAAATCCAGTAAGAGAAGAAGTATGTATGTGTACTGTCAGACCCAGTAAGAGGAGAAGTACCGTACCTGATACGATGCAATAGAAGAGCAACTAGTGTACGTTAATATGTCGGTAACCGTACAATAAGACGCTGGAGTAATGCAGTGTTACCAACTACCGCTAAACGCTGGCCACTACTAGTCTCACTGGAAGTTCTTATTCACTTCCTCAATAAGCGAGTGTTTGCTAGTTCAGTATCAAGTTCAAATTGTGTGAAAGTTGTACAATTACAAATAGTTCCTACCTATTGGAGAGTGTTCAGTCAGCTAGGTGTATATGTATAAAGCCTACGTATGTTGTATCATTTATGTAGATCCATATGTATGTATGTATATTCTGTGTATGTGCGTTTACCATTACTTTGCATTGTTATATTGTCCAACACCTGACAAACTACCGTTCCACCCAAACTACCGTCAGGGGAGTAATCCATATCAATTTTGGTAAGGACTGGCGGCTCACCCGTCTGCCCATGCAGTACACGTCTGTCCCGTGCTCTTGCCTCTCTACTGATACTCCAGTAAACTCCAGTGAACTAATTGTCTTACTACTCGTCAATTCCTATCACCTATGATCAGTAACAGAGACGTGACCGATCGCCCAAGTGGCTAATGAGCTGATCAGCGGTAAAGAGGATAAAAGTAAAAATCGCAAAACTTGGGAGTCTTTCCCGAACTTAAGGACTGGCCGAAACCGATCGAAATTGATAAAAGGAAAGTTTTACATATGTTTTGTAAGTGTGAAATAAACGCAGAAACGTATCCACCAAAATATTTGCCCTAGTGCTTGTTATTGAAGAAGCGCTTTATCGGCTGGTGGAGATGGCAACACTTGTTTGGTGTAAACATCATCACTACCGTCCCAAGTTGAAACACTGAGGCAAGGATGGCGGGAGATGGTGAAGAGTGGGACACATACCAACATGACACACGCCTGGCCTGTAAATACGGTAAAAAATGTTATCGAAAAAGTTTGGATCACCTGGACAAGTTCAAACATCCTCCCAAAAGGAAACAAGACGACGACAGTAACCAGAGAGAGGTAATGTGGGGAGCAGAGTTTAAAGGCGAAACCCATTTTGTTTACTAAAAATATCTTATATACATATTTTACATTTAGGCAAGTACAGGCTGCAAAATGTATCTGTACATGCCCCAGTGTTGGTCAGGTCTGGTCTTGAATGAGCTCACACTTGGTGCCGTCACAACACTGGCCACAGAACGGTCCGACTAATTACCCAAATGTAGCCAAATATAGTCGCAATGAAGTCAAATAATGGTCCTACATGAATAAATCGGACTGCTAATCACTTCTCGACGAGTATTTGGTATCAGAATTAGTCGGACCCCTGGCAGAATGTTTCGAGAGTTCACAACTCTTTGGTAAAAAATTTTTTCTTGAAAATTTTCTGAACGTTGGACAACAAAAAAGTATCCAAGCTGCAATTCCTCCACCCATTTCATTCTTTGGGTTTTCTTCCCTAGAAAATTTCCCTGACAATGTTTGGTGAACCTCAAGTTTGGGTAGGTTAAGTTAGGTTACATTAGGTAGATTGGTTAATTTTATGAGCTATGGATTATACTGTACTGTATTCTGTGCCGGTATGTTTTTTATGACATTTTTTAAAATATAATCGATTAAATTCTCCATAATTTCAGGATGAACAGAACCCTCACAAGAAACAGAAAGTAAACTCCAATAAAACATCAGCTCCCAATACTAACCAGAACTCATCAGATACAGAAGACTGTGTAGGGTCCACCAGTGAAGAGGGTCTATGTGAAGCTCCTGCTGCTGATGATGACAAAACTAATAAAGGTTATTACTCTTGAAACCAAGTTGAATAATTATGTTTTTGGTTTTGGTTTTCTAACTCATACACATGTTCAAATACCCCTAAAAAATCAAAATCAAAATACACAAAAAGGTTAAACATAGTGATATGAAGAATGTACTTACCTCTGTTAATGAAGGGGATGCATCTTGTTACTTCATTTCCTTGTCATAAACTTTGTTATCATAGATAGATATAACATAGAAGGCATAGGGATGTGTTATAACATTGGAGATATAGGGATGTGTTCCTGGACCTAAACAGAAGGGAGGGGGGTACAGTAGAAAAACATCATTAAATAACAAACACAAATATGGTTTATATTAATTGATGACCTCATTTCAAAACTTTTTAAATGCTTATATTTCACCTCGAGTCTAAACAATTAGATCCTGGACTGCAGTTCAGACTCAAGGTGTCTGATAGAGTAGCAAAACCTGGGGTGTTGGGAATCTTGAGTTATAATTTAGTTATGGTCAGGGATAATCAATCAGTTACCTCAGGCAGTGTTGATTATGGCATCACAAACATTTCTATGGCACGTAACATTGTCATGAAAGTGTTAATTATAGCTCTTTAGTTATACACTGTTTTTATTGGTCTGATGATGTATGTAACACATTATAATTATACAAATTTGCAGCCACTGATGATACGGATGATGAATTGCCTGCTCCCACATCTGAGGATTTTGATGAAGATATTGAAGTTCCTCCTTCACCAGAAGATGTACGAGACAACATGAAACAGAAGTTTCTCGTGGCAATGCCAGATGATTTCTTTGACTTCTGGGATTGTTGTGTACAACTGAATAAGGAAAAACCAGAAGGTAAGTCATTATAAGTATTGTAGTACAGGTATCATCATTTTGGTCAGCAAACTGTAAGACTTAAAACAAGTTAAATTCTTGAGTTTGCATTACAGTTGGTGCAGATTAACATTTTACCATCATCAGTGTAGCCCAACATCTTATGAGCTGATGTGAGGGATGACTTGATGGATATTCACTATAGTCTCTTATTAGATTAGTCAATTATATTGCTTATTTTCAGAGGCTTTGAGCACAGCTGGTCTGACACTAGTGGGTCCATATGATGTCCTCACTGGGAAGCTGAAGGGTATAAAACCTAGGAAAATATCCACTTATGTCTGTCATTGGCGCTATTTCTACGATCCACCAGAATTCATGGTACTGTATACTGTAAACGATTTTTGTACAGTAGCTGTAGTAAAATTCTCCCCCCAAATTAAAAGTAACTGTTCTATTTGATTTTTTTTTTTTTCAGTAATTGATAAAAGTTTTCGTGATGAATCTTCAGGAATAAAGCCCCTTCTCTTTCTTAGTCGTGTTTCCTCCAGGTACAGGTATACTGTACATACTGTAGATTGAAATTTATGCCCTTGGTAATTCATGTCATGAAATTGTATTATTCCTTCAGCAGTGTCCTTCATATTCTGCTGTCACATCCTAGGGCATATGACTTACACTGTCCTGGTCTAGTACAGCACCATATGACACACTTGTACATTACTTCCATTTCCTCACTGTTTTCTCTGAACATTTTTCATATGAATAAGATTTTACAACCAATTTCTTATACAAGGATATATTTGACACTTACAGACTGTGATCGCTGGTGATGAGAAGGAATACCACATTGGCTATTACCGTGACGACCCCCACGAAATGCCAGGTTTTGCAGGATCTATGTCATCCGTAAAGCGAGGAGTTATTAAGCCACTCGGGGAAAATGTCTTTGCTGCAGTTTGGTAAGTCTTTTATAGTTTACCTGTACAGTACTATAGAATTATTGAAGGAATTGAGATAAATTAAAAGTTGATCTTCTAACCATATGAACACTAGTTAGGTAGAATGAAGGAAGATATTCTCTTTACTTTTTCATCTCCTTTAAGTTTCACATTCTGTGGTCTCTTTACCTGACTTTCACTAAGGGATGCTACTTTTGTCATTTTATCTGACTTAAAGCTGGATGATAGCTACTAAGACTGCCACTTTGTTTATCAAAGTTTATAATATTGTAGTATATGTCATATGGGAATTTTCTTTTTTGGGACTTTAAGGTGTTAATATCACAGAGGTTTGTTAAAACCAGTTGTTGTCAGAATTTCCTCTTCAGCTTGAATGAGAAATGGCTTCCATTATATTTTACTGTTTATGGTACTCTTTAAATTTCTTGTTTAAATATCCAAAGTGAAAGTTTCAACAAATTAAGAGTGAAATCTACTATACAGTGATGAATGAATTACAAGCACTGCAGTGTAATGATGTATCATTGAGAGACTTTGACTGCTGTCATCAAGGCCATTACTGAAGTCAATGTGGGGTTGTGACATACAGTAAAGCATTTCTAGAAGGACTACAGCCCTTACTTCTGTACTATTGTGTTTTTGATTATTCAAGGGTCATTAATTCCCACAGGTTACTCGAATTTTTCAGTTGTGAACCCAGATCCTTCATCAACATGTAAAGTAGTACCTTTATATAAAATTTGAACTAAATCCATTTTATGACCCCGCGTTCCGAATGCCTCGGTAATAAGGTCAGGCAAATTTTTTACATCGAACGGCATTTTTTTTGGGGGGGGGGGGAATGGAAACTAACGTGTTTATAGTAAATAGTAAAGATATTCTATATTTTTAAGAAAATATATATAAAGGTGATTTAAAACTTACCGGAACAACAAAATTACCCTTTTTTAAATATTCTAAATATTGTACAGTACTGCCTGTTCTTGCTGTACTTACCAAAGAGATGCTGTGTATATTGTAATTCTGTTATAAACTCACTTGTGGATGACCTTCATCTGTTACATCAAGGTCAGGGGTTACAGAGGTGGTGTTGAGATTTGGTGTTTGGTTATGAAAATTAAATTAATATTGTGAGTGTGTAACATATATCCTACAATATGACCCCTCTCATTGGTGATCCATTCAGCTCACACCTGCGGGAGAAGGTGAAGGAAGAGAACCCTTTCAAGAAAACTTCACTCCAGAAATTATACAGCGAAGTTGAGTCATTTGCCAAGAAGAAAAATCACTCCCTGGAGGCAGAAACAAAAGGCATGAAACAAAGAAAAAAAGCTGTTGTTGCTAAAACCTTTCATGGAGCTGGCATCGTTGTTCCTTTAGATGAAGATGATAATGGATACAGAGAAGTTCCAGAAACAAATGGTAAATTTATTATATTTGTTGTCATTTACATAGCTAAATGCTTATCTCCCAAATTGATATTAGAATGGCACTTGTTAAGTCTTTACAAATGAGTCTACAGTTCTGTCGGTTAAAATGTCTGTATATTTATAGCTTATGTAGCTACCTCTCAGGCGACACACACTGTGGTATGAAGGCTACAAGGTCTGAGGGGCTCCAACAAATGACTGGCAATAAAAATAAAACAATGCCTAAGAGAGCTAACTTATTCAGAAAATATTCCCATGTTTGTAAATCCTTTCTGACTGAAACCATAGGACCCTAAAGAGTATTTTGTGGAGCATCAGTCACCACTAAGTCTGGAAGATTGAGAGGCTGACCACTGTATGTACTGTACTGTATTAACATGTATGTTCTGCAGTTGGCATGAACCAATAGTATGTGTATTTTTCAGTTTACAATTTAGTTGTCAGGAATAAGCAGTGTTGTAATAGACTTTGGGGATGAGGTTATCCTACAGTCTTGAGGACTGTACTGTACTATGTACTTTAATTCTAGAACATGAATGTATTATTGAAGTACAGATGTTGACACCTTGAGGAAGTGATATATGTTGAATTACGTTGGACATAAATCCATTAATAACTGGATTAAGTTAATTCTTACGTGTAGGAATCTTGTGCATTACTGTCGGTCATTGAACCTGAACTTTTTTTTTCATATTTCATAACTTTTTTTTTCATCAATAATTAGCTTACTAGCCATTCAGAAGGTTAGTCCATTCAGTATTAGTACGGAAGGAAGCCAGAGTCCAGGTAGTGAGGGTTACACTTGAAAATGCCCTTCTCATGTGTGTTCAGGTCGAGCAAGACTCAAACCCTTGTCATATTGGTGAGAGATACATGTGTTACCCCAGTACCGCCAACTTTGAGCTGCTAACTAGAATTTTATTTATGGTGCTTCCTACAAATTTCAATCTCCCCCTTACTCCTGGGATCATAACCGGAGTGAGGGTTGGGGTACTAAGGTCAGTTCACTCTGGACTGTGAAATATTCCCTTAACCTCCTCCCCTTTCTGGCCATAGACCTGAACTATTATTTTTTTAAAGGGAGAAAGAGTTTTTGGTATATTCTATATTATCATTGTCTTGCTTATCATCCATTCCTATTACAGCCTCATTGAGGAAGATGTTCCAGAAGGTCATTGATGCCAAAACTGACAAGCAGAGAGGGCAACACTTTGATGATGTGCAAGAAATAATAACCAATGTACAGTTTGCTAATGATGAGGGAGATCCTGGTAAGTGTATGGAACTTACTTGTAATGAATGTCTATCTATCTATCATAAATAAGTCATTTTAATACCTTGTACAGTGTTCCCCCAAAATAGTGATCAGTGTAACTTTATATCCACAGGTATGGGACTCGAGTTTGGGCTTGACATGTTTATGTTCGGCCATGAAGAATTTCACAAGCCTCTTTACCATGTCCTAAGTTTAGCATATGAAATTTTGGGAAGAAAACCTTACATTGACATATTGCAGGTAAGTGTCAACATATGAAGCTTCCTATGATATAAGTACAGTATAGCTGTGTCTTACCTTAGGAGTAGGAGTACTTTATTGGGGTCTTCTCTTTCACACCCTTTTCCATTTTATTGCTGGATGACCAGAACTAAAATCAAGTTGCTGCTTTCTCTCAAAATTCTGTCTTGTACATCGTATTGTTGCTCTCCTGTCATGCAGATACTTTCTATTTCCTTGGTGTACATGCACACACTTCAAAGGGTATCTTTGCAGTTTTGTGTTAGACAATATGACATGATAGACCAAGGATTTTGACAACAGGAGTCAGTGTTCATTTTGAAATTCACCGGACCCCTCCGAAATGATACTCTCTGGAGTGTGTGTACATCCCCCTCTCTACTAGTGCATCCTTCCATCCCTTTCTCACTTGCCATCTGCCACAGCACTTTCCTAAATGTACAGTACAGTAGTTCTGACAGACTGCAGGTTTTCAATACTGCATACAGTACAAGTATTGTAAATCATTGGCAGCTATGGGGTATACAGTGTAGAGGTTGAATTTTTTCTTGTTATAGAGAAATTGTAAGATAATATATTTTTCCGTTTTTAATTATTCCATATTATTACAGGCTCATCTGAAGAACAGACGACGAGGAACTAATTTAAGCATCTTGGAGATAGTTGAATAGATGTAGATGTCTTTGGTCCCCCTTTCTTTGCCTCCAAGTGAGCACTTATACAACTGGCACTAGTTACAATGATTTAACTGCATTAAAGGTTAGCACCATTACCTGTGGGCATTAAAATCACTAGGGTACAGTTGTGGACATAAAGAATGCAGCCGGCAGGGAGGGAGGGAGCTGGTCTATGGGAAGGTAGGGGTAGGTGGACACTTGGTATGTTGCATATTGGTGGCAATTAAAAGTGTGATTTTCTTTCCACACCACAAATTTATTTTTTTCGTTTGATTATAAGGTAGGAGCAGCTTCCCTCTCTGCTGAATTCTTTTTGTCCACAATTGCCCATATAGAGTATGTACTGTAAAGTTGGCCTGTCTAACTGTTGAACAAAAGGTTATCATGTTCTTAGTTGAGGTTTTGGTGGTTTGAATGTGTAGTGAGTCCCTGTACTGTATATTGTTTTTTTAAATTATGTATTAATTCTAAGTTATAATGTTTTTGTTGAATATGCCCATTTGTTAAAAAGTGGCTTGCATTATTAGTTATTTGTTAAAAAAAAAAATGGGTATTAATTTTCGTAGTTGGGTCATGTTCATCCCTTTATATTTGGTGATAAAATTTACTTAAAATTTTTGTTTGTTTTCGAGTGTCACTCACTTTGAGGTGAAGAATTGTGTGTAAAAAAAAAATAATGTGGCAAGTTTCCTTGGTGAAGTTGATGACTGGCCATCTGGTTACTGAAACTAAATAACAATAGGTTTGTTTTCAACTTGAATTGGCATCTGGTGCCTTGACAGATGGAATATAGTTCCTGGGAACTCAGGACTTGTTCAGCATGCCATTTCACTTGATTTTATTTTTTATCATTAATGATTACATTATTAGTGTAATGAAAAATCTGTGGAAATATAATTTAGTATTGTTTTACACCTTAGAACTTAATTATGCACCTGTAAATCACATTAATTAATAGGAGCGTAGTAGCAGCATGTAGTGTTAGCAGTAGGATTACTGGTAAACAAATTGTTGGAATGCTTGTGATATTCAAATAAAAAAATCTGTGAAGTAGTTTTAAAGGGAGAATTAAAGCAGTGTAATGTTTTTCACTACACAATACACTGTACTGTATTGTATGAATATGTACACCTCTGAACAAAATAGTTGAATGACATAACGTGACTAAACTCTGGTCACTGCCTCGTAGACAGTCAACTTGTGCCATATTCACTACTTACTGTGTTACCAAATTGACAGTACATCTTTGTACAAATACAAATCATTATAGGTGAACAGTAAAGAATTACCTCTTACTTTGCTTCAATAAATGTATTGATACTTTACATTTTAGACACTTAATTACCTCCAGAGATTCGAAGCCTTTCAATGAGGTATTTGTGTACTGACCCAGACTATGTCAGATAAAAGTACTCCACATTATATCTGTGTCCACAGTCTAGGGTCATCACACCAATCTTCAGTCATATAAGGATCAGGTGTACAGACATCATCAATGCCAAGCTTTTCTGTTTACCTCCAAAATAAATTGTAGACCAGTCAGCCATTATGGGAAAGAGAGAGAGAGAGAGAGAGAGATGATCCAGACTGCCGTGTTTGGCCCACCGCCCACAGTTCCTGAACGGATGACGTGAATGTTTACATCTGTGAAACGATCCTATAGACAAGTAAAGGCACATTTTTGTCATCCCAGTGATTAAGAACTTCTTGATTGTTCCCTGAGGCTGACTAAAACATTCTTAATCAAGATGGTCTCGCCTTAAATCGGTGGAGAATTATAAACATACAAGGCAGTGGAGCGAGTACAGTACCAGCTGAGCAGTTCCTGTATTAGTCATAATTACATCAGAATTCTTAGACCACATTCAAGCAGAGTGTTTAAATACTTCCACACTTAGATAACTGCTATAGCATCATTGTCATCTCCTGTGTTAAGAAGAATCGACATTGCTAAGATCTTGTGAAAGGTAGTTTGCAAGCACTAATGGACTAAAGTTTATTTGAATGTTAAAAAGCATAAATTTAATTCTGCTTGTGATAGCCAGAAATTTTTACTTTTTTATCTGGATTTCCAGGGTTAGATCTTGACAGTTAAGCACAATATTCAAGTATACTGTAGAACTACCCATTTTCATTTAATAGGTGATTAAACATTTTCAATTAACAAAACATTTTTGCCTTACACGGATTATGGAAACTGAAATTAAACACAGGTAAAGTTCAATAGAAAGTTATTACAAACAAGACATAGATACAGTAATGCCTTTGGGTACCTTAAGGGTTAATCATCAGCAAAGAAAGAACATAGGTACTGTACTTTGAACTTTAATTCCAATTTCATTTGAAACAAAGAAAAAATTGACTGCTTGTTTAAAATACCCGGTATGTAAATATTACTTAAATAAATTTTTATAGCTACTACAGTACTTGGTAAATCACAGTACTGTACTGTACTGAGCTTGTTAGGGTAGATAGTTTACTAACCACTTGTGTACTGGGTCCCCGATGTGCTGAAAAAAAATGTGGCATTTGCCAAATAAAATATTAACTGGAACTTCAGTAGAATCCAAAATACCATGAAAAGGTAATTTCTTTTAAAACAAATTAAGCTTACAATTCTTTACTACTCTCAGAAAGAGTTCATGCGAAAAGAAATACTGTACTGTACAGTACGTTCGACCGTTCGTACTATTCAACTACACCCATACAAATGGATGGTATTTAAAGAATGACAATTATCATTCACTTGTGAAAAAATACTGTACCCATATAAAGGAGATCTTGTTTTAGAACCTATAAATATCATTCAGCTAAAATAAAAGTAACCACACATCTGTATTCTGTGATAGGAACTACATTTAACCAAACAAGGTCTAGACATTGTTGTGAAAACATGAGTATCATACATGACTGTCTCCCCCATCACTTGTTTTGGACGGGCTGTATTGGGTCATCCACATATACTGTTCATTCCATATTGGTTCTGAACCACAGCTGTCCAACCGAGGTCAGTAACTGGCTTGAACATAACAAAAACTCAAAACTAGCCTGTTTCTTTTCTGATGTACGGTATGAAAAACGAAGTATCGCGCTAAGTACTTTGTAAAAAAATAAAAATAAAAAAACCTTACCGAACCTACATTTACTGCATAGTAGTCACAAAGGTATTTGACCTGAAGAGGGGTGCAAGTATTCAGTATTTGGAGTACAGTACTGTATATATATATATTATTTTTCCGAGTAGTTTGCATCGCTTAGAGAATGCTTGAGGGTGACTGAACTAGGTAACTTATCGTGTAAGATAGTTTGACAGTTCGGTGGTTATGGCCGCGTGCAGCCCACACCACTGTGACGTCACTCCATCTAGTTTTGATTGGCTGGTTCAGGGAAGGAAAATTAGTTGATTCTTCCATCATCCAGGGGAAGGATGCTACCTACATCTACTCCCGTGTTATACTGATCATCCATAATTACGAAGGTGGAAAACTTACTTGAAAATTAATTACCATCCTAGAAATATGGATGTAGTACAGGTTTTGCTATTCGCAAAATATATAGTGATCAAAACTAGACCCGTTATCTTGACAAGTTATTATTTTCATTAACAAACGCCTCACGGACATATTCATACAGTAGATGATAATATTACGTGACAACATGACTTGTATACTTTTACAATCTTAAGTTTTCATAATTAAATGGTATATTTAATAAATCGCTGCTGGTATTGTAGATGATGGTGGCTGGTCCTGCACTGCTGTACCTAGGAAGATAACTCCCAAATTGAGTACACAAGAGGAATTTAGCATCAAGTAATACTCGACTGTACACTCCTACTTGTATACTCTACTCCTTGACAGCATTAATGTAAGTACTGACAACTTATTTACCTTTTGAGTGCCTATAATCTTAATTTAAATCGCTCTTTGCCCTTCTATAGCATAAACTTAACACATAATTGAAGTTCTAATCTCTCGTGGTATGTGAGGTGTTTAAGTGCCATCACCAGTTTGGTAATCCTCCTTTGGACGTTCTCAATCAATTGTCAGTCTTTAGCAAACTTCAGGCACCAAACAGACTGCCCCAGAATGCGAGTATTACAAGTTGGGGAGCACCTTACCTTTGAAAAGCTTTATTAGAGACGGACGATCAAAGTATAGTACACACACCCACATTGAGAGGAAAATGACTCCAGGATTTGAACATTCTTTTCATCTTTATTTGTAGAAACATACAAAGAGCGAGTGAACTAACTACTGCAACCATGCTACATATATTTGGTTAGCTCACGAGCACACACATGTTAGTTACGGTGTGGGTTCACTACCCAGCAAAACTCCTCCGGTTTATTGAAATACAGCAAACTCCTACTGCGCTGTGAACTGAACACACCAAACTTCTCCAGTGTTGTAACCATACGACACCCAACATTTACCTGTCCAGTGGTGTTTGATGATAATGGTAATGACAGTATTGGTGATAATGATGGCAACATTGATGGTTGTAGTGGTGATGATGGTTGTAGTGGTGATGATGGTGGTATGTGGTGATGGCTGTAATGATAGTATTGCTTAGTGATGAATGATGGCGATTGTTGATTAGGGTGGTGTTGGAGATGGTGGTGATAGTGTCTTTGATTATGGTGTTGATGATGGTGATAATATTGCAAGTCATGGTAGTGATAGTTTTGATGATTGTAGTGTTGGAGATGTCGATAGTGGTAATAGTAGTAGTGTTGGTGATGATGGTACTGGACTACTGGTGATTAGTGTTAGTGATTCTCCTAATACTTGTGACGAGGATGATGATAATAGTGAGGATAGTCAATAACAATACTACTTTTCACTTGAGTAAACATCCTCCACCACTCTCTCCATCCTCCAACACTCCCTCCATCCTCCACCACTCTCTCCATCCTCCAACACTCCCTCCATCCCTCTCCACCACTCTCCATCCTCCACAACTCCCTCCATCCCTCTCCACCACTCCCTCCATCCCTCTCCACCACTCCCTCCATCCCTCTCCACCACTTCCTCCATTCCTCTCCACCACTCCTTCCATACCCCTTCACCACTCCCTCCATCCCCCTTCACCACTCCCTCCATCCCTCTCCAACACTCCATCCTCCACCACTCCCTCTCCCCACAACTCCCTCCACCCCTCTCCAACACTCCCTCCATCCTCCACCACTCCCTCCCTCCATCACTTTAAACACCGTATCTTATCCCCAACTTAACCCTCTTTAGGCTCTCTCGGTCACTTGATTCTACCTCCATTCTCGACCCTGCCTTTGAATGCAACTCAGGCTTCGAATCTAACTGTGGCTGCGGTTTGGTTCTACTGCTGAAGGAGATGCCGTAGTAGGTGAGACCGAGGGATGGGTGGCCTCAAGTACCCAGTAGATGGAGAAATAGCAGGAGTAGTAGTAGTAGCGGCTGCATCCCCCTTACTACTGAAGACCATTCCGCTCCTGTAGCAGTAATAAGCGAGGCATGATGTAGCTTGTGCGTTAAATGGAGTGTGTGTGGGGGGGGGGGTATTCATTATCATTATTAGTATGAGTGTTATTTTATTACTATTATTATTAGTAGTAGCATTTTTTGTTTATTTTGATTTTCTGTTTTATTATTGTTATTATAAAACAATTTGGTGGACTATTATGGATCTGTGTAAGCCGTGTGTAATGTGGGCTATTTTTAGAGTTTCAGCGATAATTTTGGAAAGTTTAGGTACTGTGGAAAAGTTTTAAATGCAGGAGTGTACATGCCTTGGTAATTCCCATGGTAAGAAACCTCGCACGAATGGGCTCATGTGACTTAAAATACGTGTATATGATTTTATTATTTGGCAACTTTTTTTTTTTATTTAGGGAACTTTCATAAGCAGTATGTGTGTTACAAATGACTGTTCAGTAATCCGAATAGACGCATTATAGAAAGGCTTCTTGTCATGGGATATATATCACTGTTTACACAACATATGAACGTTATCCATGTGCTAGGGGCCACTGACCACCTGTAGAGGCACCCTCACGCGGGGACGTCTGCATATAGTTGCCGTCGGTGATGATAAGCTCGGTGGAGACCCTGTATACGTGGAGGATAGAGGCAGTACACCGGAGCACCAACACGCCCTCCCTGAAGTGATGCGCGCGCAGCCACATGTGGAGGCCCGACCACGCTGACACTCGCCCCTCGCCGTCCCACTCTCCTGGATACGTCACCACTATCTCTCGTGGTCCTCCTGCCTGTCACGAGTATTGTAGTGAATCCTAAGTGTTCTCTAATGCACTTGTAAACTAAAATGGTCTGTCTGATCATCCCTCTGAAGGACTATTTTGGTCTGAACTGGCGCTTGTCCCTCCCTCCCTCTCTCCCTCCTGTAGTTTCTACTCACCTGGAGGCCGTTGATATCCCAGGTGAGGGCCGTGGGAGGATAGGAGAACGGGGAGGAACAGTTTAACAGCAGAAGATCTCCTACGTGGTAATTTCCGCGCTGACCCGTGATGCTGGGACCGCGGGAGGGAACATCTGTGGATGATGTTCTTGATAATAATGGATCACCTGAAGATTATCAACGCACTAATGCTAAACCCAACATAATCTAACCTAACCAAACCACCAGGTAGTTGTAGGGTGTTTAATCATCAGGTAAAATAATTCAGGTGTTCAGGTGATAAAAACTAACGATGATAATAATAATAGAAATAATAATTATAATAATAATAATGGTAGTAATAATAATAATCATATACAGTAGTAATAAGGATAGTAATTATACCTGTAGTTTGATAGATAATTGAGTCCATGTTAGAGACATACAAAAGGAACACGAGTATTATTTTTTTATATCAATGTCTCAAATTATTAAATGCTAACACTAAAGTCTACTGTACTAGCCGGACACATACACACATTTCGTCTTGTCCGTTAAAAAGAGTCTTATCATTACATAACCACTTGTCTTGTACGGAGTTTCCCGCCTCTTGTATACGTAATATATATATAAAAAAAAATTATCCATGGAATTTTCTGAACAAATTTTAAAACCATTAGCTAAGTGAATACAGATATGCTAGGGACGCGCAGCTATCCTCAGTTGGGGATAAGATAAAAACACCCGACTGAGTTAGTGTCGTGGTGCCCGTACGTTACATTTTACCCTTTATCTGGTAAGTGAGAACGCGTCTAATTGGTTCAATAAATCTACGCCACAAAGTTTGCCTCCCAGATAGCGGCGAAATTGCGCTTCAGATTTTAACGTAACACGATGCGTTTTCTCATCTGGTTGTGGAGAAAAATAAAAGGTATGAATCTTCGGGAGGACGACCCTGATCGGTTTTATTTGTGAGTTACGTTTGGTTTAACTTTTCCATAATCGGTGCTTTATATATTTGTTCGTATTATTTTAAAGTAAAATAGCTGCTTAACACAGTACCTACACACTACAGTTACTTTCACCAGCGTCAGTAATAAAAAAAATAGGGATAAAACAGCAAGAGTCAATTGGAGTTCTTTCCCGTTCGCCAGCAGCTGTTCAGCCAATCAGAACGCGGCGAAGCATTAAAGAAAACGGAAATATGACCGCCATAAACTACACCATTAGCGTGGGATCTGAAAATGCTGAAACATCGTAAAATTCATTTCCTGATTACTCCGGGCTTTTAGGGAGACAAATTCACTACAAGGAGGTGAATTAAGCTTCAAGTATTTATGACCTTGACGCCGCTGCCAATACCGTACAGTATCTTGTTGTTTGACTTCTATTTAAGCGTTTCGCATCTCGGGTGGGGGGTAGTGGTAGGCCGTTGAATGACTTGCAAGATATTTATAGAACTTAGGTAATCATTGATGAATATTGAATATTTAGTCAGGTGTCTTGTTGGTTTATTTACATTGGTTTAGGTTTGATTAAATTTAAGAGTTTAATTTTGATGCAATTTGGTGGTATTACATGTTTTGAGAGAGAGCGTTCAGTTATCAGTATTACACATTCCCGTCATGTTATTTATAGTCAGGCACAAACATAAATGTATGCATACAACTACAAGTATACATACACAAAATACTCACATGAATATCGCACACATACAGATATACAGTACATAACAAACACACACACATTAAGCATGAACTCATAAATTCACACGAAGTCACATGAGCATCACAGTACCAAACAAGTCAGGTACTGTGTGTGTGTATAAGCTACCCACCCACGACTGTCATGTTGTCCTGCTTCGTGTCCTGCTCGAAGGTGGTTGCCAGGAGTTCACAGCGGAGGATGCCCGAAGCGCGATGATCCACCGTCAACACCACCTCGTTTAATGTCGACTCTTGCACCTGTGGGAGACGATGTGGGTGATGCGAGTGCTGACGTACAGGTCGTGACAGCCCTATACAGGTCGTGACAGTCCTATGCAGGTCGTGACAGTCCTATGCAGGTCGTGACAGTCCTATACAGGTTATATACAGGTCATGAAGGCTATATACAGGTCATGAAGACTATATTTAAGGTTTCTATAATAATTTTTGTATTGGTATAAATGATTCCTTAGAAGAAGACGGCATTCAGTGACTCTTAGACCAGTTTATAATAATATTTCTGGGTACTGATGAGTGGCGGGTGCGGGCCAGATGGTGAGGCGTCGACCAAAACACGACCAAGTAATCAAAGAAAGTGGTACAGTATCTTTGCCTGACTTCCCTAAACTGCAGCCAGCCAGCCGTTCCACAACACCTGCCCTAGCCGCTGCTTCACTTCACCTCAATGAATTAATGTAAATGATAACTTTTATTTTGTGCCTTGTCTAGTGCACGAGACTTTGAGTTAATTACTGTAATTATTGCGGGGAATAAGTGTGAGCGTGTTTCTTTAGTCCCCCCATTAACGGTGAGAGAAAATGGACCAGAAAATTAAATGTAGTTTCAAAATTTCCGTCATTGGGGTAAGGGGAATAGGGAGGGTGGGCGGTTAGGTTAGATTAGTGTTGAGATGGTTAAACTTAGGGTAAAATAAGGTGTGTGTGTGTGTGTGTGTACGTCCGCTACTCACATGCACCACAATGCCTCGGACGGGGTAAACAGACTTGGGGTGAGAGTTTGATGGAACGAAGTTGAAGAACATTTGTTGATCTTTCCACCAAGTGAGAGAGTAGAGGGCGTCCCCGTCCAACCTGAAGGTGCAGGAGAGACGCACGGTGTCCCCACTGAGGGCTGTGTGAGGCACGTCTATCCCGGTGATGTGTAGAGATCTGCTCCTCCCCACTGTGTGTCGGGGAGAGAGCGTGAGGGAGAGACAGCGTGAGGAAGGGATAGAGAGACAGCGTGAGAGGGAGGGAGAGGGAGAAATAAATAAACGAAGAATAAGAAAATGGAGAATTATCAAAAATACGATATAAATATAGCCAACATACAAGTTCATTACATTAAACTATATATTTTTATTTATTTATTGAGTTGACAAAATATTGTTACTGTCAGAAGATACAAAAGGAGGACAGTTGGTCACGTGACTTACGGAGAAGAGAAAGAATGGCTATCAACAGCCAGTGGATCAGGCCTCCCATTGGTCGCTTCTGATGAGGTGTAAGCCAATCAATGAACCCGGAGGTTTCCGATTTCTGGATATCGGGAGCGTTGGGATTGGTCACTTCTCGACCAATCGGAGAAAGGATTTGACAGTTGAGAGTCACTTTCAACCAGTCAGAAGACTCGCTAATCGACAGTTCTCGACCAATCAGCGAGGTCCATAACCGGCACCTTTTTATAAGTACAGGTGGTCAGCAGGCGTCTCGCTACGACCACTCAGCAGGGGTCACACCTAGACCAATAATAGTGTACTCGCCAATTACCAGCCTGAAATAGAGTAACATTTCAGTTTAATGTTGTAAGTTTGTTCACATAGACTAGATAAATATACAGAGCGATTTAAAATATCTCACGAGGGTATATGTGAATAGAAAATATTATATAAAAATCCCTTTAAAAACCTCTCACTCTGACAAGGTTATGGGCAGTAAATGGCGTGTTCTGTTTTCAGCCGAGGGTTACAGTTCATACAAGGGCAGATGTAGGAAATGACCAAGCTCAGCCGTATAGTATAAACACAGCGAATTATACAGTGATGCAGTAAAATTGTTAAAAGGTAACCGGATGGAATAAGCTAACGCATTTGGTAGACAGTAAAGATGTTCTGGGATATGAAGAAAATGATGTCTTTCACCTGGGGAATATGCAGTACAGTACACGTATTGACTGAAGAAACGAGATCCTAACCTGTATAAAACCAACTTAGTGTTGTGATGTTGTTAATGTACATAACCTAACCTAACCTACTGTCTCCTGGGGCTTACGTCACGTATCAGTCAGGTTAAGATAGTGTGAGCTTTTCTTCTAAGTTATTTTGAGAGGAATTATTGGACCATTTTATAAGCTGAAATTTGATTTTGAGAGAAAGTGGACATTGATGCTTACTTTGAATTAACACACATACACACACACTGTTGTCACATAATATAGGTAGAATGTGTACAAGATTAGCGAGCGACGGTTCAGATTGGTTAAATTAGACCCTGTACAGTATTTCGGCGGCTAAAACGTTAAGAAAGGTCTCAGGAATATGAAGGATCGGATAATTTCATAGACTCTGTAATCTCCACAAAGAAAAATTGTATATCGCGTGAAATATTTTTCTTAGGCGGTAGCTTCCGTGTGAACGCTAGTCGGAGCTGGCTGACGTATATACATTGTGTCGCTGCATAAAAGAATATTATCCAGCGAGTTTTTGGCACTAACAAAAATTATAAAAATTTCGGCCGATGACAAACAGTATATTAAAGATTTTCAGAAAAAAAAAACCATGATAGACCATTCATGTTATGGGTAGCGTACAGTATTATATAACCTGCCTCTAACTACCACAACACACGCCAGAAACATGTTTGAACGCTCGAGAATTACGTGTTAAATCCCTACAGTAACTACGAGCTGGCTCCACACAACGACCGTTCTATTACACCCACCTCCTCTCTCTCCTCCATCAAGGGTATTTCAGTTAACAGCAATTAATGAAGAAATTTTGACGTCATTTACTTTTTTTATCTTACCTTACAAATGTCGATTCTGGATGACGGCGTCTGGTCTGAGTAATTAGTTCCTCATACACTTGGTGGAGAAGTGTAGTGTAGTGTAGAACAGCAGTGACTGGAGAAGCTATAAAGATGTTAACCAATTGACCAGTCGTGTTCCAGGATAATGGTTAACCAATGCGGTAAGGGTTATGTCCGATCATCTTGGGTTATTCCCTGACATTGGGACATAGAGTATAGCTTGGTAACTGTTTAGTGGTTGTCGAATAAAAAAAATATGACCCTGTACATACACACACACACATATATATATATACGCACACACACACACACACACACACATATATATATATATATATATATATATATATATATATATATATATATATATATACGCACACACACACACACACACACACATATATATATATATATATATATATATATATATATATATATATATATATATATATATATATATATATATATATATATATATATATATATATGCACACACACACACACACAGGAGTAGGCCATTAGACTTAATTTTGACAAACATAACAAAAGACCAACACGAGGAGAGAGAGAGAGAGAGAGTAATGAGCACCGTGAGCACCAGACCATTGTGTCGGGGTTTAAATTTCCGGCAGTTTCAAATAGAAAACGTTATATGTTACCTCACAACAGGAACAATTAACTATGGAACACCACTGACGCGCACACTGACTAACAAACCGGTAAGTTCAGTAGTGTTTTCCAAGCTTTAAATATGTTGCCACGACCCGCCCGCCCCGCCCGCCCCGCCCCGCCCGCCCCGACCCGCCCCTGACCTACTCCTTCTAAGTAGCGCCCTATAATATAGTTCTCGCTGTACCTCGTCTGACTCCTGTAACATAGCTCCCTGCTTGTACTGTATCCCGTCTGACTCCTGTAACATAGCTCCCTGGTTGTACTGTACCTCGTCTGACTCCCTGTAACATAGCTCCCTGCTTGTACTGTACCCCTCCTGACTCCCTGTAACATAGCTCCCTGCTTGTACTGTACCCCGTCTGAGCTTTGTATCACCACATGACAAACGCCACCTACCACTCATTAGCACTATGATATATAACTATATTTCCTGCGTCACGTGATATATGAGGGGCTTAAGATTTATTATTTGTGACTGATGCTCACTGTAATGCCTGGGCAGAGTTACTTAACATTGGAGGCAAATTCTACCTCTAGTTAACCACATTCATTCAGCGTCTAGTGAGTAGAATGATCGAGTGAGTAGAATGATTACGGTAGCTAATGACGGATAATGATAATATCTAATCATTTTGTTCTCTTGATCAGCTGGTTATGGAGTACAAGGGCCATCACGGGCTGTTGTTATCGAGGTATGTTAGCTTAGTGTTATGGTCGTTTGTGGTGTAGTGAAGTTGTCGTTCATGTGACGTATTGGGGTTGTCACAGTTGTTATTTAATGGTTATTTTTTGGCCGCAGTGGTAATTTAAGAGTTATTTGCCACCACAGTTATAAGGTGATATTTGTTTATTTATTTGTTATTTTATTATATTATACCCTGATATAGTTTCAGTGATGGGAGTTTCGACAAATAATATTTAGATTATGAGAGAGATCCCAAATGTGTGTACTGTGCTTATTTTTTACACACACACACTGTACGCATTGCACCTTATTAATTAGCACAGGTATCCCACTAATTAAGAACTATGGGTGGTTCTTCAGTGAATTTTATTATAAATACGACCACTATTATTACTATTACTTGACTGGCAGTATAACAAGAGCTGGGGGTGAGATATTTGGCCAGTTTGAAAAGTTAGGAACACCTTAATTGACAGTAGATTTTCTAAATTAGATTTTGGGCCTAAATCCTATTGACCCGTGTGTCTGGCCAAACGTCACTATAGTCCCACCACCTGTGATTATTATTGAAGGTATAACAGGTATATAATTTCACCTGCTGTTCTCGTCACTAAATTTAATAAACAAGTACTGTACTAATCACCTTGAGAGTAATATTTGCCACAGGTACAATAACAATTAACCTGGAGATTACTGTAACCTAACATAGTACAGAAACATAATATATTCTGTCAAGGTACAAACATATTGGGGTCAGGTTTAATTTACACAATTGGGTTTTAGGAAGGAAAATTTGGTTAGTTCTGGTAATATTCTCAATCTTCAAGTTTATATTTCTTTCTCTCGCAGTTGATAGAAAAATGAGAGTTAGTGGGGGGTGGGGTGGGGTGTGGGGAAAAGGGTGGAGGGGAGCAACACCAGGTGAAATATCGCAGGCAATAGCTCTCTGTTTTATATTTCGACCTGACCTGCAACATTACTCTTGAACAATGACCGCAGCTAAATTTGCCGCCACTGAAAAAGCTATATTTCATCTTTTGCTGCCGAACGCATTTATATATATCACACACCTATGATCCTGAAAACTGGAGAGAGGGGAAAGAGAGCGATAGTGGCAGGTGGTTCCTTTCCTCTCTGTCTGCCTCCACTAGAGTCAGGGTACACTAAAGGGCTAACATGACGTCACCTAGATACCTGAGATGAAATGTTATCAACTCAACTTCACCTGAATACCTGTGTGTGTATTGAGATGAAAGGATAATTACTAGCCTGGTAATATTTGGTGAGAAATTTGATGAAAAAGTAATGGAATGAAGTTTGAGTTTGAACGTTGAAGGAATAATAATTAATATATATATATATATATATATATTTTTTTTTTTTGCTGTGAAAGGCTCGAGAAAATAGTGTGTTGTTGAGACTAATAATAGCAGTTTATTATTTACTCATGCTAGTAGACGTAGGTGTGTGTGTGTGTGTGTGTGTGTGTGTGTGTGTGTGTGTGTGTATGTGTGTGTGTGTGTGTGTGTGTGTGTGTGTGTGTGTGTGTGTGTGTGTGTGTGTGTGTACAGTCTATAGGCATTGAGTCTATATTTATATTGCTGGAGATCTGAAAAATATACGAACGATAACAGAACTGCACGTGTCGTAAATAGAACACACACACACACACACACACACACACACACACACACACACACACTTGCATGGTCTCGATTCTTTTTCTTGCTTCTGTCCAAATTTAGGTTAAGTTAGGTTAAGTAAGACTAAGTTAAGTTAAGTTAAGTTAGGTTAAGTTAAGTTATCCGTTGTTTACCTGTGCTATAATTTTTCCCTTGGTGCATCAAGTGTACTGCCAGCCCAGGTGTTATTAATTAAATAACCGATAACTTTGCCAGAAAAAACACACACACCTCAAATTACGTATTGTTGTTAGGTATTAATGTTGGAAGTGATGAATTGAATTTAAAGTACAAATGTTAGAGGTTATACTGTGTTGCTGATTCTGTATTTTGTTCATATTAATACTATTATGTATGTATGTATGTATGTATGTATGTATGTATGTATGAATGAATGTATGTATGTTGTATTGTTGTTTAACTTTGTGGTATATCCAGTAAGTTATGTATATTCTTGTGGGAGTGAGTGAGTGTGTGTGTGTGTGTGTGTGTGTGTGTGTGTGTGTGTGTGTGTGTGTGTGTGTGTGTGTGGGAGTGAGTGTGTGTGTGTGGGAGTGAGTGAGTGAGTGAGTGAGTAGTGAGTGAGATGTCACAGGATTCAATTATTTTTAGGTCAAAAATCCTCAAATATCCATAACTCTTCGCTGAAAAAAAAAACACCATGCAAATTCACGAAAGAAGATTGATGGAGCTTACATTTTGGTGTGT